AGAACAGAAGTTTCTGTTGCCCACATTTCAATCTTGAATTGTGTAAGCCCGAATCTCGTCTCCCACTTACAAGATTTATGAGACATTCTTTCGAAGTCAGAGAGGTGAATTAGGGAAGTTATACTGGGAGATAGAGAGGAGGCAAAGGCAGCAACAAATTATTTACATGAACATTCCAAAGTCAGTTAACCACATTCCACTCAACTTACTTGGGAAACAATTGTGCAGTTTTAAAATTAGGATTTAATATACAACTCAGTGTTAACATTATGTTTAAAATAAATTAACCCAGATAAAAAGAATTTGGCCTCCAGGAAAATCAGAGTTCTACTCAAAATCTAATACTAACCAACTGCTAGGGTGGTGAATTTTCAGGATCTAATGAAAAGCTTGTTCAATCTGATGGCTAAGTAGTGGAATAAGTGACACGAGAAGGAACAAAGCCCATTACACAGCAGTGTCGCCTTTTGAACTAATAGGTTCTAATGCTTTTTCTTATTCATGGAAAAATATCCAAAAAGTAAAATACTTTTTTGTTTCTACTACAGAAATTCTATTTTTAAAATTTGCATCTAATTTGTGTATCTGCTGTAACTTAATTTAAGCATACTTCTAATTAGCATCATAAAGGAAGTTAGGAAAGAGGCATATCTCATCAAGTTGCAGCCAATGAAGACCAGGATGAAAAAGACCAGACTTGGCAGAAAGAGGCCACGTGGTGAACAGGCATTGCCCAGGTTGAATGGTCTCTTGCTGGTGTTAAGGCTCTGACATTCAACTTCCCCCACTACTTGTAGGTCAGTCAAGTCCATCTGGGGTAACTGAGCTCCCACAAGTAAAACTGGGAGATCTGACACCTCACTTGCCACAATCGGCATCATGCAGGTTTTTAATCCAAGATCTAACGCTTCTAAGCTGGAACATTTTACCCGTTACCTCTTTTGAGTTGCCTGCTGGGAAGCTGGGGGCCAAATCTGTAGCCCACTTACAATCACATTTTGTGTACAGGTTCACTCCTGATTTAATATTTTGTCATTTCCTCTTTGCTCAGAGCATGTTTAGTCTAAATAAATGTTATTGTGTTGTATGTGTCTCTGTAAGCCCTCTTAAAAACTTCCTGGGACAAGGCAATGCATAAACAAACTTTAGATAAAATATAATCTAAATAAATATAACCAGGCTAAAGTGAATCACACTATATAGCACAAGCTGCTTCAAGACAAAGGTATCAGAGATTTAAAAGGCGGTAACATTTCTTAGCAAATTCATGTTCTCCCTAGGGCAATATCGGACTTATAAAAATCGGAATTTCAGGAGTTTACAATGAAAGATGAATTCAAACTGCCCCCAAAATGTTTTCAGAAGCTTCTGAATTTCCAAAAATATTAAAAAATACAATCATTCAAGCTTAAAAGAAGTCTCTGGAAAGGTGCTTGGTTGTGGTATATTACAGCATACAGGATAACCAGAGGTGGAATCTTTATTTCACAAGTTTCAAGATACAGTACAAAACGAATCTGTACATCTCTCTATTAACAGGATGTTTGTTTACACAATTATATTACACTTCACCAACCTTTATACTGTATTTCATTACATACAAAATAAATTTACAAAAAAAAAGTCTATCACGGTGTTCCTTCACAATGGCAGCTTAAGGTCTTTTAAAACTTCCTTTTCTACATATGTATAGTGGTTACATCTTGATATCAACATTATGAGTTTTATGAGTTTATTTTTTAATCAAAGAGAATAGTGTCAGCCTGTTTGTCAAACCAAATAGGAAAAACAGCATGTGAGATGATTCCCTGCACACAACCAAGGAATCCTTTCCTGCACACAACGTCGGATTTTTACTTGTACAAATAAGTCACTGTTAACATACAAACTATCTTTCCTTGGGATCGTTTTAAATTTTCTTGAAATACCAAGTGGGTGGAGAAATTTAGCTTCTTTTCAATGAATACCACATATTTAAAATCCAGATTGTGCCTGGCATTCAGGAGTGTTATATTTTCATTTATATTTGAGACTGATGGCTGATGAAAAATATTTGCACGAAAATAGAAGTTTTCTTTTGTTCTGATAATTTTTTACATGCTTCTAGTCATAATAATGTGTAAAATATATATGCAATTCACTTTCAAAACAAATATCACCTGTCACTGAAACAAATAAAGCTCTGCTCATCTTGGCAGTTAAAGGGGCTGTTTTCCTGACACATTTTGTTTTGAAATGTGTATGTGAAATATTAGTCCGAACCTCTGCAAAGGAAGTTTTTGCATATGTAGTTAGACATTAATATACATGCTACACACAAAGAATTGTGTTTTTCATTTATAGGCCTGCATGCATACTTCCAAAATACTGGTTTGAAGAATGAACACCAGGAACAAAGAAGGGAGGGAAAAACAAAGAATAAGAAAACAAACAAAAAAATCCTATATATAATAATAAAATACTTAAATTTCCTTGAGGCATCAACAGCTCTTTAAATAAATCATCAGATCATCACCAGATCACTGGCAGAAGTTTCCAAAACTTCCTAATAGTACAGAGACAAAATGGCTTAGTGGCAAAACTCTCACATGTAAAGTAAAAATTAACCTAATATGCAGAATAGTAATAAATCCTTAAGAGTATCAAGATTAATAATTTATAAATTAATCTGAGTGCTAAATAATAAATTTTGAAGTCATCTTTGATTTACTTTTTCTGTGCCATTGACTACTCATGAAAAATAAGCCTCACCTAGAAAACAGAAACTGAAACTTCAAACATGGAGAGACAGGAAAAAAAAAACATACACACAATAAACCCACCAATGCTACCTCTGTAAAATAAAATAGAAGCAAGATGAATAGTTTCAAGACAGTCAGCTAACCAACAAACCGAATGCACAAGAGAAGAGTAAACAGGGTACTACTGTCATCATATTTGAAGGCAGGAAGACGGGCTAGAAAAGGTCTTAGGAGAGATTGGCTACCATGGACAAATGAAGCCACACTCTGTCTGTTAAATCTAAATTCTAACATTAAAACTCCTGAATCCTGGAGTTAGTTTAATGTCACTGACATTAACTAGCTTAGTTATTGTCATTTTATTCAAATGGATGCCATTTGATTAGGTACGTATTGAGCATTATTTTAGGAGAAAAACCAAACCCAACTCCTGTTTGCTTAGGTACCATGTCCCATGAACAAAAAAGAGGAGAGCAAAGTATTTTTGAGACAGTCCTTAAGTGAAGCCCTAAGAACTAAGTTATTTGAAAGATACCATTCACAAACTGCTGGAAGCAAATGACCCAGGGTAAAATGAAGTGGAAACAAGCCAAGAAAAGGAAATTCAGAACATCAACAATAAAAAAAAGGCGAGTGGTAAACTAGTAAGAAGTGTGTTAATATATGAAGAACAAGACTGCACTTTCCCGTTGAACCTTAGGTAGCACACACAGTTTTAAGAAATGTTTTCTCAAAGCACATACTCCATGGGGGGAAGGAAAGTTACAAACAAAAATGTTGCTAAAAGAAAAATTAGGGTGGATGGCTGAAGAAAAAAGTGAAAGCTGATAGTTATCTTAGGTGGTTTTTCAACTTTTAAATAAATTATAACAGTTTCTTCTAAAGGAAGTGTGGCTGCTACCATGGATTACACTTATTTTGAAGCGGGGAGAAGGGGCAGTGGTGGAGACACCAATGTACTGTACCAAATCTCTACGTGTAAGAGACCAAACAAGTCTTTGTATTTACAACAGCTGCCTAAAGCACATTACACTTAGTGGGGTAAAATTTCCTAGCTTTCACAGATATGCTTTCATACATATGGTTCTCTTGGTGACCAACTCTTCGAATTTGGAAGCAATTATCTGGGAGAAAAGTTTTGCTTACCAGGTTTCCCATAATATTCTAAACACAAAAAAGGTATACAACTTCACATTTAAAAGCCTTCACGTTCATTATAGACTAGTTAAATCTAGTTCTAAATACTACCGCAACTTCAAAAATCAAAGCAGTAACTCTACAAGCAATAAACTTTTCAAGTTTTCTGGCAGATTCTGGGAAAAAGCATAAAGGTTAGTATGAACTGACATCAGCAGGTGTAGAAAACCTGCTGAGATACAAACGCAGTCTCAGACAAGATACAGGCTGGTGAACGCCACCATCTGACAATAAAATGAAATACAAATTCAGTTTAAGCTTCAATTCTTTTGTGTGTGATTAGGTGAAACTCTTCAGTTTTCCTTTTTTTTTTTCCATACTATTTAACCAGACAATCCTGAAGCATAGTAGCCTTGATTTTCCTAATGTTATCAGTGAGAAAATGGTGAATATGATAGCTACGCAGTGGCTGGCTGTTATAAAACTATCAGAAATAAAAAGATACCTGAACAGTATAGAACAGTATAAACAAGTTTTGGCTTTCATCAACCACTGAGTTTTTTTTTGTTTCTGAGATGGAGTCTCGCTCTGCGGCCCGGGTTGGAGTGCAGTGGTGCAACCCTGGCTCACAGCAACTACTGTATCCCGGGTTCAAGTGATTCTCCTGCCTCAGCCTCCTGAGTAGCTGGGATTACAGGTGTGCGCCACCACGCCTGGCTAATTTTTGTATTTTTAATAGAGACAGGGTTTCACCATGTTTGTCAGGCTAGTCTCAAACTCTTGACCTTGTGATCCGCCTGCCTCAGCCTCCCAAAGTGCTGGGATTACAGGTGTGAGCCACTGCACCCGGCCATCATCAATCACTGAGCTTAATCCATCTTTGATTCTCTGAGTTTTAGTATTATAATAGTAGTCACTGTAAGCCATACCCTGGCAATGATATTTCCTATTTAAAGAATTCAGGAAGGCGATGAGTTCTTTGTGCAAAAAGAAATGCAAAGTAAAATAAATTCTGGGAATAAATGCTTCAACTTTAGGAAACGTGTGTCTGTCTGTGATCGTGGTACCCCAGCCAGAGTTCGTTTTGTTTTCTAATTTCTCCCATTTAGTCCATCCTCTGGCTTCTGGATCAAAGCTCTGTACATTCAAAACAAACAAGCAAATTACAGAGTAGGTGGGGCAAATTCACATTGGCGCAAGGAGTCACAAGGTTTTACATATGTATATTGCATTCCAAAGAAGTAAAGCTCACAAAAAACTCCTTAGCAAGGCCTTTCAGTCTTTGAAGGAGAGGGGTATGGTATACAGTGTGACAATCACCAATAAGAACCTCCTTACCTTCCCTTTTAAAATAATGAATATGCTAAATATGTATAACTGCATGTGGACTGGTAAAAGTTTCTCAGTAGTCGCAGTTCCAAAACACTTTGAAGATGTCTTTTTTTTTTTAACTTAAAAGGCAAGTTCTATTTTCAGACTTTTGAACACGTTTAAACTTGCAACTAACTGGGTTTTCTTTTTTGCACTGATCAGTTTTTAGTGTCGATGCACAATACCTTAAAGATGGTTAATATCAAGAACTTATGCACATTGAAATAATGACCAAAAGGATCCAAGAAAGATAGCTGGATACAGCAGATGTTACTTTGAGTGTCTCACGTTTCCAGAAAAGAAAAAAGAAAAAGCCACTGAGAGTTGTTATTCCATATGGCACTGAAACAAACATTCAGCTTAGTTTACTTAAGAGTTACTTATCCCTGAAAATAAAGGCATCAGATTCTAAGCAGCTTTAGGAATTCAATGCTTCCTTATGCCATGCCTCTTCCGGGAGGTGACCACTGATCCAAAGTCCTAAATCAAATGCAAGTGTTCCCTGCAGATAACTTCCTTTGCTGTCACCGATCAAGGCTGGACCTGGTGGCTGTTACTGGGGTGGCTGCTGCTCTGGGGGCACCTCCTGCTGGGGAGGAGCTGGCCGTGGTCCTGGAGGCCTGGGTGCAGGCATGTCTTGGTGCTGCCTTTGCCTGTAAGCTATGACTGTTCCCAACAGCAGCGCGATGATGGTCATGAGGTAAAGGTCCCACTCAGGCCCCAAAAGCTGGTCCATATCAAGTTGGGTGAACATATCTCGAATCTTAATGAAAATAATATGGAAACCATTATTATCACTAAAATGTCAGGCAAAAAACTAGGAAAGTTATATCACCAGAGATAAGTATAGAAATGAAAATAATTGGGCCTGGCGCCGTGGCTCACGCCTGTAATCCCAGCACTTTGGAAGGCCGAAGTGGGTGAATCACAAGGTCAGGAGTTCATGACCAGACTGATCAATATGCAGAAACTCCGTCTCTACTAAAAAAAATACAAAAATTAGCCAGGTGTGGTGGCATGAGCCTGTAGTCCCAGCTACTTGGGAAGCTGAGGCAGGAGAATCAATCGCTTGAACCTGAGAGGCGGATATACAGTGAGGCGAGATCGCGCCACTGCACTCCAGCCTGGGTGACAGAGTGAAACTTTGTCTCAAAAAAAAAAAATAAATAAATAAATAAAAATAAAATAATTGGTTTTAAAAACATTTTGCTGTGTGAGTGTGTGTGTATGTGTGTGTTTAAAGGGGTTTTAAAAGCCTTCAACTGAAGCTCAAAATAATGTGTCTGAGGAACTGAGCTATTAATGTATAACAGCTGATATTTAATATAAAATGTCCGACAGTGTTCTTTACATCAGTAATCCAATCCACTAATTTTAACCATTTTTCACATAAAATACTTGAAAAAAAATCACTAGGGCCAGGTGCAGGGGCTCACACCTTGTAATCCCAGCACTTTGGGAGGCCGAGGTGGGTGGATCACTTGAGGCCAGGAGTTTGAGACCAGCCTGGCCAACATAGCAAAATCCTGTCTCTACTAAAAATACAAAAATTAACTTGCATAGTGGAGGGTGCCTGCAATCCTAGCTATTGGGGATGCTGAGGCACGAGAATTGCTTCAACCCGGGAGGTGGAGGTTGCAGTGAGCCGAGACTGTGCCACTATACTCCAGCCTGGGTGAGATAGTGAGACTCTCAAAAAAAAAAAAAAAAAAAAAAAAAAAAAAAAAAAAAAAAAAAAAAAAAAAAAAAAGGAAAGAAAAAAACAATGGCAAGCCAAGGGGAGAAATTAGTATCTTGGCACAGGGAACCTATTGGCAGTGACAGCACACCAGCTGGAAAGCTCTGTTCCATGACAGTGGGGCCATTTCACTATTCCCATGTAATTGAAAATGGCAGGAACTCAAATATTTAATAGCTGAACGAATAATGCTTCTCAATTAGGATTTAACTAAAACACAAAATATTTAACATCTGAATTTAAACTTAAAAGTTATGTTCTTAGTCTATGATATTTGAATTGTTTAATATCACTTATTTCTGATACTTTCTGACTTCTATTATACTTACCCATTAAGAAAGTAAATGTAGGGTATAATTTTTAAAATAAAATTACATTTGAAAGATCTCTGTAACACATTTGTAGGTACAGGTGCTAAATTTTTCTGAGAAAAGGCTCACGCCTGTAATCCCAGCAGTTTGGGAGGCTGAGGCGGGTGGATCACAAGGTCAAGAGATAGAGACCATCCTGGTCAACATGGTGAAACCCCGTCTCTA